GCGTGTCCTGTAACCCAAAATAGTGAGTTCACATTTCGGAAAGAAGTCTCTTTTGTCTAAGTAGTACAAAGCTGTCACTGACCAGCCAGAGGCAGCTGCTCTTATGTGGGGCTGTATTATGGGAAAGAGGTATTACTGACCAGCAGGCTGCTGCTGTGGGTACAGATGTAGGAAAGATGTATTGTTACCTCGCTGGTGTATAGAGACTTTACTTTCGAGAACTGTTTTGTCTAGTGGCTCCTTGTTAGCAATGACTGCATGGCCACTGGCTTCTACAATAAAGACTCTCCTATATACCTACAACTTCTCATGACTTCTCCATCAAATACCCGGTGTCCATGAAGGTCCAGTCTCTGGCAGAGGAGCTGAGTTCCAACGGAAGCAGAGCCAGGCTCTGACTCTGAGGCCTTGCATTGCCTTTTCAGCTTCCCTCCAGTGGTGGGGAACCCATCCAGTCTCATCCATTGTCTCAGAGGTGGTGCAGTAGCCACCTGGCTGACGTGTGACAATTGGAGAAATGTTGTATTAGCTGTGCTCTACTTCCAAGAATGAGGTTGGATGGGAATCAGTCCTGCAAGGGAATGTCTGTGTCACAACTACTCGGTCTTTCATATTTGTAAGACATTTGTGCCTTTTCTTTCTGGGCTGCTAACCCAATCTTGCCTCCAGGTCTCTTTTCTCTGAAGCATAGCCATTCCAGTAGCTAGTTGGGCAACGATTTCCACTTCCCTTTTAATTTCTGTAATGAGCCTATATATCTAATTTTCCTTTCCAAGTCACCTGCAGTTTCTTTTTTCTTTAAGATTCTGATGCTGATCTTTGATGCTTGCAACACTGTTCTCCTTCGGCAAGTCCTAAATGATATATACTTATTACAAAGAGATCTAAAAAAAAAAATTAGCATTTTTGAAGAACTTTATAATACCTCCGATTCACTAGAAGATATGCTGGAATCTTACAAGTTAACTTAAACATAAATTATACGTTAGCTTAAAGTTGCTGATGGCCAGCTTTGGCCAGGTGGCTCAGTTGGTTGGAATGTCGTCCCTCACGCTAAAGGGTTTTGGGTTTGATTCCTGGTCAGGGCACGTACAGGGAGCCACTGATCTACCTTAACTGTTCCATTGGCTTTGCATGGAGCAGTTCTGAAATGCATCTTATCTTACCTTCCCTGAGTGTTCTGCCGTGCTCTCCGTTTCTCATATTCCAGGTGAAAACCCTGGGCATCTGTGAATCTTTTCTCTGTGCCCCTCTACCCAGCCTATCTGCCTCACAGCCCCTCCCATGAGCAGTTGCCAAGCTCATCAACTCTGACTCAGTGATCCTTCTGATGTTCCCACCCCGTGTTCTCCAGGGGCAGACCCTCATTTTCTCTCCTGCAAACAGCCACCTGGCTCTTACAGCAGTTGCCTTTGCCTCCAATCTCTTCCCTTAAGCCACCCAATTGTGTATACACTTCAGCTGCATAGTTCTCCCTGAAGGATGATCTCATAACAACGGTAAAACAGGGTCCCACAATCTTTGTTGTTTTACCGTTGAACACTAACTAAGGTCTACACTTGAGAGCGTTTACTCTGCCAGCAGCTTTCCTGCTGCACTTCCAGTCAGACCGGATCGGATCGTCCTCTCTGCCAGAAGTTGCTGCTGATGGCCCTTAGTCCAGATTTGGCTTGCAGGCATGTTTTGTTTGGTTCCCAACTTAAAAAATTAACCTGAATCGATGCTTTAAAATCAAAGGAATTTTCTTCAGAGTTAAAGTCTCAAAGAAAGTACAGGAGACTGTGAAAGCTTCAGAAAAGATGGGAATTTAGGGAAAGGGAGGGAATCAGACAAGACTTAAGTTCTTACCTATTTAAGTTCCTAGTACATCTTTTACCCACCTTTTTAATATATATACTGTATATATACTAACATATATACATGTTAGTATATATACAGTATACATATATATGTATACATACTGTATTTCATATAGGAAGGGACAGGGAGAGAGAGATAGAAACATTAATGCTGAGAATCATTAATCAGCTGCTTCCTGCATGTCCCACACTGGGGATCGAGCCTCAACCCGGGCATGTACCCTGATCTGGAATAGAACCGTGACTTCCTGGTTCATAGGTTAATACTTAACCACTGAGCCATGCAGGCTGGCTACTCCCCTTTCAGAGGTTAATCATGACCATAGATTTTCATGCAGATAAATGGTCCATGAAAATTTGTTTTTCTATAATAGGCAGAAGTAAAGCAGGATTTAGAGAAGATAATTTAAAAACTGACAGAATGAAATGACGATCACTGAAAAAGGTGGAGAACCCCTGACTTAGAATACAGTCTTTGAATCTAGGAAATGAGGCAATAGAAGCTCTAAGCATTTAATGTGGTTAGCTCTTGTTGAAAGTTGACCACGTGTGTGGGTATCAGTGTATTGTGGCTCTTCCCCAGCCTCCCGTCCCTTTTGACATAAGCATACAAATGAGCTTTTTAGAGATAATTATTTTACATCTCTTTAACCTGAAATAATTTTAGAACTTGATCATCCTCATCATCCTACTTACAAATGTACATGGGGAAAGGGGGAACAGTTTTCTCAGTTTTTCTAGAAAATTTGCACTACCTGTCTCCCCCCAGGCTGACCTCAGAAGATGCAGCGATCTTCTGGATCAGAAGTATAATACTAGCTGGGACCGGTTTGGCTCAGTGGATAGAGCGTCGGCCTGCGGACTGAAGGGTCCCGGTTTGATTCCGGGCAAGGGCATGTACCTTGGTTGCGGGCACATCCCCAGTAGGGGGTGTGCAAGAGGCAGCTGATCGATGATTCTCTCTCATCGATGTTTCTAACTTTCTATTCCTCTCTCTTCCTCTTCGTGAAAAATCAATAAAAAAAATATTTTAAGAAGTATAATACTAACATTAACCATATAAGGCTTAGTGTGTACCAGCCACTATTCTAGGTATTTTTTGTGTTTTTTTTGTTGTTGTTTGTTTTTCTTTTTATGAACAACGGCTAGTGGATTTAGAATACAGTGCTTTCCAACTCCTTTCATGGCAGGCATATGTATTCAATAATAATATTTATATGGGACACTGGGATAATGGGCTCAGGAGTTTGGCTGCCCAGGGGCTGAGGGGTTCTGGGTGACAGTACATGGGTACTCTCTTCTCTGTGCGCCATGCACACTGTGCTGGGAAGCTGTGTGATGGGGTACAGCAGACTTTTTCTAATGCCGGGGTGATATCCTGCATCTAGAAGGGTTCAGGAATCTGGAGAAGGCGCTGCATGTAAATTTTAGACTAGAAATATTATATAATATAAGTTTGTAATCCATGGGGGAGCCTGAGGAAGCTTAGCTGTGGTAGCTAAATTCTCTTTATCTCCAGGGCTCTTTTTATTCCCACATTTTGCCCTATAGCAAAGTATATATATATATATATATATATATATATATATAATCTCAAAGGTAAGTTTGGTATACAGTAGGCATTGTCAGGTTAGGGGAAATGCCCTCAGCTGTCTGGTAACAGGCAATAATATATGCAGATCTTTAGGTTTGGGGAAATGCTTTGGGCTAGTCCAATAGACAATAACATATATTCAGCCCTGCTGAATATAGAAGCCCATCAACCTTTTGAAGAATTCTTTTTTTGTTTGTTTATTTAAATTTCTTGGGTATCATATATTTGTCTTCATTCCCCTCCCCCCCATTCCCATCCCACACCCCTCCCCACACATGCTCCCACGCCCCTGTTGTCCTTGACCACTGGTTAGGCTCATATGCCTGCACACAAGTCCTATGGTTGATCTCTCCTCTTTATCCCCACCCTCCCCTACCCTCTACCCTCCCTTTGAGGTCTGACAGTCTGATCCACGCCCTTTTGAGGACTTCTTGCATTTATTATGACATGCTGGAATTAGCCTCCAGCACTAGTCCCGATTTCTGCTGGTAGCATTGCTTCTTGGATCTTAGGATGGCATTACATATTTTACTTATCATCAGTGTTACAGAAGGGCACTGCTAACTCTCCAGCTACTCCCCCTCCGGCAGCAGCTATTAAGAGCTGCTTGGAGAAAGTTCACACACACGTGCTTGACTAGTTTCCAATCACTCCGACACCTCTGAGCCTCTATTTGGACCGGTCTCTGCTGCTTCCAAATCTCTGTCTGTGAAACAGTAAGTCCTGTAGGGAGGTCAGTTTCCCAAGTGCACTCAATAGGAAGAGCCTGTATAAGAGGTGAAGAGAGGAGTGCAATCCATGAGGTCTTTGCTGAGGGGATGACTTGGGTCTCTTCTCTCCATACTCCTTCTTCATCCAAATAATTTTCTGTGAACATTTAATGCGGAACTCGATGCCCTCGGGGCTCAGAGGGAAGTGGGGGTGCTGTACGTTCTACATTCTTTGCACATTGCTGAAAAGATCCTGTTGTGATCCTGGTTTAGCTTGGTTCTAAATGCCAGGCTTGCAGTCGACTCTGCTCTTCCCTCTCACACCTTATTCCTTTCCCCTACTCTCAGACAGACTTAAATATGTAAGTTAAAAATAGAATAAATATAAGACTTTCCTCTTATTTGCATTTAAATAAGGTATTTTTTTCCTCCATTCCTTCTATGCTTTTGAACTGTGGCGTGCTGATGGAAGAAAAAACAAAAAGGACTGAATCCTGGAATTCATGAGTTCCAGGTTTTAGTCCTGGAACTGCCACTTACCCATCTAAATGGGCAAGTTTGTTTCATTTCTTTGCCTTTGTGACAAGAGGGGACTGAGGATACCTGTCCCAGTCCCCTCTCAGGGCTGATTTTGAAAAATCAAAGGGGAATCTAAGGCATGAAAACAGTATGTAAGCTCCAAAAGCAATTTGGTAAATGCAGTTTGTTTCTCTATTAAACATGGCAGCAAGTCCTTGTAAGAATTCAGATACTGAGCGCTTGTGAGTGTGGCTCTGGGGATGACAAAATTGACCGGTGCTCTCTCTCTCTCTCTGTCTCCCCTCCCTCACCCTGCAGAGTAACATGGTGCACTACCTGGGCCTGACCCATCACCTGCTCGCACTGAACTTTATCATCGGTTCTTTCGGCAAGAAAAGCGCATGGTCCTCGGCTCGGATGAACGTGACGGACACGGACTTTGACGGCGTGGAAGTCAGGGTGTTCGAAGGCCCCGCCAAGCCACAAGAGCCCCTGAAACGCGGCGTTGTTTATATTCACGGGGGAGGCTGGGCCTTGGCGAGTGCAAGTAAGTCCTGGGCCTGTGAAGGTCCTTTGGGGTTGCGGTTGGCCCTGGGAGAGAGGTGTGTATGTAATTGAGTCTGACTTTCTCATTGGGTAAAGAGAGGGGGACCATTTGACTTGGTCCCTGTGGGCAGTTCCAATTGCTCATAATTATCCCAGCAGAAGCATTAGTGGTGTGTCCTTTTCATGCTTGAAAGTGTCCTGGTTTGGATGATTACACCCTACATAAAGATTTTTGCCTATTTGCTTATTGGTTTGTTAATTAAGGTAGACTCTTTTGCCAAAACTGGTTTGGCTCAGTGGATAGAGCATTGGCCTGCGGACTGAAGGGTCCCGGGTTCGATTCCGGTCAAGGGCATGTACCTTGGTCGGGGCATATCCCCAGTAGGGGGTGTGCAAGAGGCAGCTGATCGATGTCTTTCTCTCATGGATGTTTCTAACTCTATCCCTCTCCCTTCCTTTCTGTAAAAAAAAAAAAAAAATCAATAAAAATATATTTTTAAAAAAAAGGTAGATGGTTTTGAGAATATTTTCTGGGACCTAAATCCTAGACTAACTTATTACAAAGTTCTGGCAGCAGCTTTCTGCACCCAAATAAGGTGGGATTTCGTTGGGCCGGAAGATGGGGGGAATGGTCGGCAGCTCTTTTGCCAGCTTGTGTTTTGAAGACCCCTTTCTATGAAACAGAACGGGTACTCCCAAATGCCCGTGTTAACTCATCTGCATTTCATCTGCTCATGAAACCAAGGGTGGAAATATAAAAGCATGCCACCGTGAAAAGGAAGTGCTCTGACCGATTTCAAGAATATTCTCTTTTGTGTAGAATTACGAGATCGAAATGGCACGGTGCCAGGTGGAGCAGCGGGCAGAATGCAAACTGGGAAGGAAGTGAGGGCCTTATCTCCACCTGCGATTTTCACGGAGCCACTTCCTCATCTTCAGCCTGGAGCTTTGGCATCTAGTTCTAGTTTGCTTGTTTGTTTTGTTTTAATAACATTTTTTTTTTTAATGAGGGGAAAGCCAAAAGCTCTTTATAATAATCTCGTTTCATTGAACTCCATATTCATATTTTATTCTTTAATCGTTGATTTGTTGGCGTTTTCTTTTTTTAAAATATATTGTATTGATTTTTTTTTTTTTTTTTTTTTTTTTTTACAGAGAGGAAGGGAGAGGGATAGAGAGTTAGAAACGTTGACGAGAGAGAAACATCGATCAGCTGCCTCCTGCACAGCTTCTACTGGGGATGTGCCCACAACCAAGGTGCATACCCTTGACTGGAATCAACCTGAGACCTTTCAGTCCACAGGCTGACACTCTACCCACTGAGCAACCGGTCAGGGCTGTTGACGTTTTCAAGAGATATTTACTGAGCATGTGCGTTTGCCCAGGACTGAGAGGTTTCCTGAAGGGCAGGGCTTCTGGTACAAAAACTCAAACAGTTGCATGCAGACCTGTACCTGTGGTCACTCTAATGAGTGGTAGGTGATGGGATATAAAAATGAATGAAACAGAATTCTGGAAAAGAGTGAGTCTGTACCATCGGACACTTGTCAGGTGAGGCATTCCTCTGGAGGCCGGGAATGGTGTAGATTATAAGAGCCAACCTGGTCTTTTTCATACTAATTTTAACTGATCACTATTGTCAGAGGAAGCACTAGGCTGAGGGAGGTCTGTAGATGGTTAGGTTGTTATTAACCTTCTGATTCTAAGACTGCCTTGGAAAAAGCCTATGGATAAGGTGATATTTTAGCTTTTTGTTGGCACAATCTGCTCTTAATATATTGGGAGAATAGCTAAGGAATTGATTTTTTTTTTTTTTTCGTAGTAAAATTGCTTCTGTCACTGCAAGCCTTTGGATTCTCTTTCTAAGAACTGCTAAGAGTTCTTAAAATTTTAGTTTGTTATGTGTTGATTTAAACAAAATACCACATTCTACAAATTGGTGATTTTCCCGAATTGCAGCAAATGCGGGTGTTAAAAGAGAAAATTTTTATGGTTCTCAGGAGAAAACTGCTTATTGCTGTGATTTTTTGGAAAGGCATACATTTGAAGAGCTGCAAAATTAGAATGAATTTGGTGCATTTCATAGAGTCAATTATGAAACAAATGTCTAGTTAGTTAAAAACACATTCAAAGGCAATCTAATATAGATTCCCTGTTAATTTATAGCAATTGCATTTTTACAAAAACCAATTTAAATTCTGCATTTGTATACGTAACTGTATTAAGGAGATATATGGTCACATTTGCTTTTTATTGTTAATAACTTAAGTCCATGTCTAAAAGGGATTCACAATTAGCAGAATTTAAGAATAGACAGTATTAGATAACTTGTTTAATAGTGATTTCTCCTTTGTTTCCTTTAGGAATAAGATATTATGATGAACTGTGTACAGCAATGGCTGAGGAGTTGAATGCTGTCATTGTCTCCATTGAGTAAGTAATTAATAGTAGTTATAGAAAAAAAATTTAAGAAAGGATCCTCAATAACTATGTAGTTCCTTTATTTTAAAAGTGATAAAATAAAGGCCCAGAGAGGTGAGGTGACTTTCCCAAGGTTACACAAAATGATTTCACTTATAACTTAGAATTTCTTGCTTTATAATGCCTCCACTTATTATTATTATTATTTTTTATTTCAGTTTTGGAAACTTCTGGAAAAGAAATTAATTAAAATTGAGAGGTATATACAGTTAGTTATCTATAGCATATAAGCTTGATTACTGGCTTTTTATTTTTGTTTTTTTTATTGATTTCAGAGAGAAAGCAAGAACGAGAGAGATAGAAACATCAGTGATGAGAGAGAATCATTGATTGGCCGCCTCCTGCACACCCTACACTGGGGATTGAGCCGGCAACCTGGACGTGTGCCCTGATAGAACTGTGACCTCCTGGTTCATAGGTAGACGCTCAACCATTGAGCCACGCTGGTTGGGCTAATTACTGCTTTTTTAAAATTAAAAACCAATCAGCATTTTGAGAAAATCTCTCCTGCAACCAAGAGTTGTAATAGTGATTCTCTTGGACTCAGGTTCTGTAAGTCAGACCTTGTAAACAGTAATGAGTGCAACGAATCTTCCTCAATTTATTTATTATTAATAGTAGTGATGTTAGTATCTATTTTTTGAGTTCCTCCTACCAGTTATGTATTAGCCATCTTTCTGGGGAAATAAGCAGAATGGGGATGCTTATCACACATGTGGGGACAGTGATAATACAACACCATGGTACCTCTTCTGTGGCGGACCGTTGCGGGTGCTATTGCACACCTGTCTCTCCTCCTTTCCATCTTTTTCTCATGTCATCCTTTCAGCTAGGCCTCCCTGACACCCTGTTTAAAATTGTAACCCTTCGCCAAGACTGGTTTGGCTCAGTGGATAGAGTGTCGGCCTGCAGACTTAAAGGTCCCAGGTTCGATTCCAGTCAAGGGCATGTGCCATGGTTGCGGGCACATCACCAGTAGGAGATGTGCAGGAGGCAGCTGATCGATGTCTCTCTTTCATCGATGTTTCTAACTCTCTATCCCTCTCCTTTCTTCTCTGTAAAAAAATCAATAAAATATATTTAAAAAATAAATAAAGTAAAATTGTAACCCTTCATTTATATAGATTTCTAGTAAATGTGGGCTCATCTATAATAATAGAAAAAAGAGCTGGGACCGGTTTGGCTCAGTGGATAGTGTCGGCCTGTGGATTGAAAGGTCCCGGGTTCGATTCTGGTCAAGGGCATGTACCTTGGTTGTGGGCACATCCCCAGTAGGGGGTGTACAAGAGGCAGCTGATTGATGATTCTCTCTCATCGATGTTTCTAACTCTCTCTCCCTCTGTCTTCCTCTCTGTGAAAAATCAATAAGATATATTTAAAAAAAAATAAAAAGAACAGTGGTGGCTTGGGGACAGATTGGGGAAGCGGGTGGTGGGAGGGATAGGTTACAAAGGGACAGGAGGAAATTTTGAAGGGTGAGGGACATGCTTATTATCTTGATTGTGGTGGTGGTTTCAAGGGTGTATACATATGTAAAAATCTACCAAATTGTACATTTTAAATATGTGTACTGTGTACTTTATTATATGTCAGCTATACCCCCAAAGAGCTGTAAAAACACTTAAAAATGTAACCTAATAGTAAGTAAAAATGTCAATAAATAATGAAAATTTCAGATGCAGACATAACTCTACCTACCAGTTCTTTCCCCTACTTTCACAGTATAGAACCGCATTATATATATACAGATATATATAAAATTGCAATCCACTTTTCTTCTGCTTTGTTTTTCTCCAAAACTGTCAACATCTGACAGATCGTAAATTAAACTTATTATGTAGTTACTATAGTGAATGGAACCCGACAGTGTAAGTTTCATTAGGGCAGAGATTTGGGGGATTTTTTTTTTTTTTTTTTTTTTTTTGCTTCTTTTGTTCTATTGCCTGGAAATATTCTTGGCAGGAGTGGGCATTCAATAAATATTTGTGGGATGAATGAATAGAGTCTTGCTTAATTCTCATATAAATCATCCGGATAAGTATTTTGATATTTTTCTCACGGATGAAGAAATTGATGCCCGGGAAGTTAAGTAATCTGCATGAGGTCCCATAGCTAGCTAGTCACAGTGCTGGAGTGGGGCACTGAGCCAGGCCAAACCGGTCCCAGGCCAGCATCAAGCCAATACTGAGGAAGCTGATAATGCTCAGTAACGATGTGACAATGTCCCAATAACTATGTGACATATGTCACGGCACCATTAGCCACTCTCCATGCCCTGAGCTTATCCAGCTCCCCTGACCCTCTACCCCTTTCCTTTTCTTCCCTTTCCCTTCCCTTTCCCTCCCCTCCTCTCCCCTCCCCTCCCCCTCCCCCTCCAGTTCTGTTCTCCTCCTCTCCTCTCTCCTCCCCTCCCCTTCCCTTCCCTTCCCTCTCTCTTCTTTTTTAAAAAAATATATATTTTTATTGATTCCAGAGAGAGGGAGAGGGGGAGAGAGAGAAACATCCATAATGAGAGATAATCATGGATTGGCTGCCTCCTGCATGCCCCACACTGGGGATCAAGCCCACAAACTGGGCATGTGCTCTTGACTGGGAATCAAACCCAGGACCCTTCAGCCAGACACTCTATCCACTCAGTCACACCAGCCAGGGCCCCTCTACCTCTTTCTGCCACCAGATTTCCCTTCTTGCCCCCAACCCAGATCTGAGACCTCAGAGAATCCTTTCTTCTGCAGCCCTTGGGAGGGCTGGTCTCCCGAGCCCTGTGGGCAGCCCTGACCCTGTGCCCAGAAGCCTTGGAGCCACAAGGAGTGGCGCCGTGGCTGCTCCTCAGCAGACTGGCCTCTCGGTGAGGCCTCCCAGATCACACTCCAGGGACCTCAGTAAAGTGTTTAATGCGGGAACCTTCACTGAAGTGATGATTATGTCATCTGGCCCGGGCAGCTGGCCAGAGGAAACCAGGTCTGTGTAAGCCGCTGAGCCCCAGGACGGAGCGAGGTCCCACAGCTCGGTGCTGGGGAACCAGCCTCGAGCCCCTTCCGTGGTTTCCTGCGCAGCTCCAGCTCCTCCAGGCCTGGGGGGAGGAGGGAGGTTGGCCCTGCTTCACTTGGCACCATGAGGATCCTCCACCCAGGCCTCACCCTCCAGGGCTTCATTATAAGCGGCTGGCGGCCTGCCTACCTTCATTCTTCTGACACGCGCTTCCCCACCTGTCAGCATCTGGGTTAAGGAAAACAGGTGTTCTCAGGCTTATCATAAAACACACGGGGGTGGATGAGATGTTTTTTAAGATTTTTTTAAAGAACCAAAAGTTGGAGGGACCACTTGTATTTTTGACTTCCCGTAGGGTCTAATGTAGCTTCCAGAAGTTATTAGCCGAGAGGCATCGCAGCCTGAGGGCCATGATCCTTACTCATGACTGCATGACCTCAGGCAAGTCATTTAAACTCTTGTGCAAAGTGGGGTGTGTGTGTGTGTGTGTGTGTGTGTGTGTGTATGTGTATGTGTATGTGTTAGGATTCTTTTGTGTGTGTCTCACACTGAGCTGCTGGGACAGAAATCCTGCCTTCTTTCCGTTGGGTCCCCATCACCCAGTGCACGGCTTAGCACGTGTATGTGAGGCAAATACCCTCTGAGTTGGGTTAATGACTTCAGAGAGTTGTCAGGAGAATCAGTTTGGATTGGATTGTTGAGATAGAAGGGCTTCAGATACCCAAAGGGACAGTCGGGAGGATTAGTGCTGGAACACAGAATGGAAAGGCCCAGCTGACAAATCGATTTACCAACACGTGTTTGGAACTCTCAGCACTTTTCTTCTTCGCAGACATGATGAGCTAAGATGCTTGGGATCCAGGCCAACCAGCCCACGAAGAGCTGCATAACCTATGCTCTAGTTGAGGGATAGCCAGTATCATATGATCTGGGAAGTATCATCGGGCTTGAAGACATATTTTCTCTCACTGCTGTATCTTTCCTCTTTCTTTCATCCCGTAAGCATCTATTGAATTCGTATTATGTGCCAGTTTCTGTGTTAAATTCCGGTGGCATTCAGTGTGAGTTAGACAGACATCATTTCTGCCCCCACGAATCTAGGTGAGAAAATAAAATCTAGGAGAGAAAATAACCTTGAACAAGTCATGCTAAGTGACAAGAGATGTGAAGTAGAAGGTAGGTAGGTAGTAAGGGAGGAATCTAGTAGGTAAGATCTTACCCAGTTTGCAGGGTCAGAAAAGGTGTCATAAAGTCATCTTTGAATCGAGGTCCTGGGGACGAGTAGAACCTAGTTAAACAGTGAGTTGGTCCTGGAAGTCCAAAGTGATGTCACGAGAGGACTTGGGAGGAAGGGGAGGAGGCAGAGGGCATTTAGGGAATAAAACAGGACAGAAGACACACAGAGGGACTCACACTTCTGACTGATGAAGGAAAAGAAGAATTAAGGGTGGGAGATCCTGAGAGTTTCCTGGAATCCCACCTTCTTCAGCAGGAATGCTGTCGAGATAGCTGCTCCCTTATCTTCAAGGCCCACGGGAGTGGTGGTGGGGCCACAGCTGCCTCCACAGGCGTGAAGCCTGGGGGCAGGTTTACCCTGAGGAAGCTGGTAGGCCAGGGCTGGGCCCCCCTTACACACACACACACACACACACACACACACACACACACACCCCGCTGACCACGGATCCCCTCACAGGAAGAGAGAGAGCAGCAGGAGTTGGAACCGCGCAGTTCATGTTGCTGGCACTGGCTCAAGGTTCTGGGGAAGCAGATAAAGGCCCTGAGGGATGAAAACAACAGGCTGGGCCTTCTGCTCAGTAGCTTCTGCAACACTACACTATTTTACATACCAGTTGCCCAATACGTATTCATTAAGTAAATGAAAAAGTTTACCTTTTAACCGTATAATACCAATGTAGCCTCACTTTATATGATCTAGGAAGGTTCTATTTGATATCCAT